CATAGAGAATGTGTGCGACTACAGGAGAATAGGCAGGTACGTAAAAGGGAAAGATCGACCTTTGAGGATCACCCTAAAGGGTGCCAAACAGATGGAAGAAGTACTAAGGAATGCTAGAAAATTACAAAGTGATGAGGATGGGAAAGGGTGGTCATTAAGACGAGATCTTTCAAAAGAAGATAGAGAGAAGCTGAAACTGAACCTCGCCGAGGCAAAACATTTAAATGAGAGCAGGAATGAAGAAGAAATAAATTCTTTTTTCTACAAAGTGATAGGGGTAGGCAAACCAGTAAAGTGGTACATAAAGGCAAACCAGCAAAATCAATAGAGAGAGGGGGAGTGAAGAATAAGGAGAGGGGAAAAAGTTCCTGAAGATTGCATACACCAACATAGATGGAGTGAGATCGAAGATACTGGAGTTAAGTGATGTAATACAGCTGCAGACACCAGACATTGTTGCACTCACGGAGACAAAACTTGAAGATGTAATTTTAAATGAGGTCATATTCCCAAGGGGCTACTCAATTTGGAGACGGCATAGAAAAATTAGGAAAGGCGGTGGCGTTGCTGTGCTGGTAAAAGAACACCTAAAGGTGAGGGAAATAATGACTGCCAATCCACAAGAAGTTGACATAATAGCACTAGAGATCTGCCATGAGGATGATAAACTAATGATAATAAATGCATATAGTCCACCGCCAAGCAGCACATGGTCAAAGAAGGAGCTAGATAGTAAACGTGAAGGTCTTATAACAACAATGAGAGAGATTATAGCGAGAGCGGATACCGATAGATCACGACTGTTGATAGTCGGTGACTTCAACTTGAAATCCATTGACTGGGAAGCATATGAAGCTAAAACAGAAGATTTTTGGACCTGTAAATTTGTAGACCTCATCCTGGAAACATTCTTGTATCAACATGTTAAACAAGCTATGAGGATGAGGGAAGGGGACGTTCCCTCCATGCTAGATTTGATATTTACCAGGAAGGAGGAAGAGATATTTGACATTCAGTACCTTCCTCCCTTGGGTAAAAGTGACCATGTCTTTTTGGGAATAAAGTATGCAATGCGTTATAAGCTGGAAGAAAATAAGGAGTTTGAAGCAGTTGAAAAACCAGACTTCAGGAGAGGACATTATGGTGACCTTAGAAATTTTTTTAGTGAGTATAATTGGACAGACTTAATGCTAAGCAAGGAAGTGAATGAGATGTATGTCAAGTTTTGTGAAATATATGATAAAGGCACAAACAAAATTTATACCAAAACAGAGATGCAGAACTAGGAAACAGGATTGGTTCAATAGAAATTGCGAGAGGGCTAGAGACCAAAAGACACAAAAATGGAATCAATACAGGAAGAGGCCGAACCCCCAAACATACCAGCGATACAAAGATGCGAGAAACAACTACACAGCAGTGAGGAGAGAGGCAGAAAGAAATTTTGAAAAAGGGATTGCAGACAAATGTAAAACAGAACCAGGTCTATTCTATAAATTCATAAACAACAAATTGCAGGTAAAGGATAATATTCAGAGGTTGAAAATGGGAAATAGATTCACGGAAGATGAAAAGGAAATGTGTGAAACACTAAACGAAAAGTTCCAAAGTGTGTTTGTACAAAATGAAATCTTTAGGGAACCAGATACAATAAGAATTCCAGAGAACAACATAGAGCACATAGAGGTGTCTAGAGACGAAGTGGAAAAATTGCTCAAGGAGCTAAGAAAGAACAAAGCAGTTGGTCCAGATGGAGTTTCACCATGGGTTCTGAGAGAATGTGCACCTGAGCTCAGCATTCCACTTCACCTGATCTTTCAGGCATCCCTGTGTACAGGAATCGTAGCAGACGTGTGGAAACAGGCTAACATAGTTCCAATCTACAAAAGTGGCAGCAGGGAAGACCCCCTCAATTATAGACCTGTATCATTGACAAGTGTAATAGTGAAAGTATTGGAAAAACTAATCAAAACTAAATGGGTAGAACACCTAGAGAAAAAAGATATAATATCAGACAGACAGTATGGTTTTCGATCTGGAAGATCCTGTGTATCGAATTTACTCAGTTTCTATGATCGAGCCACAGAGATATTACAGGAAAGAGATGGTTGGGTTGACTGCATCTATCTGGACCTAAAAAAGTCTTTCGACAGAGTTCCACATAAGAGGTTGTTCTGGAAACTGGAAAATATTGGAGGGGTGACAGGTAAGCTTCTATCATGGATGAAAAATTTTCTGACATAGAAAAATGAGGGCAGTAATCAGAGGCAATGTATCGGAATGGAGAAATGTCACAAGTGGAGTACCACAGGGTTCAGTTCTTGCACCAGTGATGTTTATTGTGTACATAAATGATCTACCAGTTGGTATACAAAATTATATGAACATGTTTGCTGATGATGCTAAGATAATAGGAAGGATAAGGAATTTAGATGATTGTCATGCCCTTCAAGAAGACCTGGACAAAATAAGTAGATGGAGCACCACTTGGCAAATGGAATTTAATGTTAATAAATGTCATGTTATGGAATGTGGAATAGGAGAACATAGACCCCACACAACCTATATATTATGTGAGAAATCTTTAAAGAATTCTGATAAAGAAAGAGATCTAGGGGTGGTTCTAGATAGAAAACTATCACCTGAGGACCACATAAAGAATATTGTGCAAGGAGCCTATGCTATGCTTTCTAACTTCAGAATTGCATTTAAATACATGGATGGCGATATACTAAAGAAATTGTTCATGACTTTTGTTAGGCCAAAGCTAGAATATGTAGCTGTTGTGTGGTGCCCATATCTTAAGAAGCACATCAACAAACTGGAAAAGGTGCAAAGACATGCTACTAAGTGGCTCCCAGAACTGAAGGGTAGAAGGGTAGAAGGGAGAGGTTAGAAGCATTAAACATGCCAAAACTAGAAGACAGAAGAAAAAGAGGTGATATGATCACTACATACAAAATAGTAACAGGAATAGATAAAATCGACAGGGAAGATTTCCTGAGACCTGGCACTTCAAGAACAAGAGGTCATTGATTTAAACTAGCTAAACACAGATGCCGAAGAAATATAAGAAAATTCACCTTCGCAAATAGAGTGGTAGACGGTTGGAACAAGTTAAGTGAGAAGGTGGTGGAGGCCAAGACCATCAGTAGTTTCAAAGCGTTATATGACAGAGTGTTGGGAAGACGGGACACCACGAGCGTAGCTCTCATCCTGTAACTACACTTAGGTAATTACATTTAGGTAATTACTCAGTACAGTACTTCGGAAGTGAGATACAATCAACGAAGTAGTCCATGGTGCACAGCGCGACTTTGCTCTCGTTGCACCAGGTACAAATAATTTTCACTTCCTGTTTCCTCATTCTGTGTGCTTTCATATAACGCAATCACATACACCCTTGGCTTTAGCACTTGTAGGTTGTATGTAGCCAAGCTTGTAAAGCATAAGGTAGTATTGAAAAGATTATATGAAAAGATCAATTTCTAAGGTAGTCTTGAAAAGATCGCTTTGTATGGTCCCACACAGGAAGAGATTCAGCTTGCCTCAAAGAGTGTCCGTCAGTTAGAAAGAGCTTCAGCTAGCCTCAAAGAGTGTCTGTCAGTCAAGAAGAGATTCAGGTATTCTTGAAAATATCTATGGAAAACACCACAATGGAAGCCGCTAACACTGTTCATCTATTCTACTTGTATCAGATGCATCATCACTGAACGCAGAAAACGATTCATCTATGTATCATCTAAATAAATTGGAGATAGCATAGGATTGCAAGAGTGACGCTCAGAGCTACAACTGGATACGCTCGCTGTATCGTCCTCATAGGGACTGTATCATTTGCATCAGACCTTTGTGTTAGGTCCATATTGTGCCTAGCTTCACCAATATTATGATCCTTATGTTTTTCAAACAATAAGGTTTGAATTTCACCGACAGAGCATTATCTTTCAACACCGCGTCGGAGAGGTGTTTGGGAGCCAGAGGCGCGTGCGTCACCCATGGTTGCTCACTCGGTACTAACCCATCCAGCAGCCCTAGGGCATTCTAGGATTTTTTTCCAAGATGGGTGCCTCTCACTGGAGGTCCTAAGAGTCCATTTCGTACACAACCCACCTCGTACACATTTAGAATGGGTACGGAAAAATCAAAAAGAGTTTTCTCGGTTGGCGCAGTTTCCCGCTGACAGAGAATACTCGGTTGGTACAGTTAAATGGTTAAAAGATTTTTTTTTTTATTTTTTTTTTTATGCGCCTGTGGGTGACAAAGGCCAAATAGCCCTTAGCAACTTGGGGATTAAGGGTTAAAGAACTTTCTAAGTTTCCCATAGTATTCTTTCCTGAAATCAGGTTTTTCATCTGCTTCATTTTCTTCACTCTCTTTTCAATTATAGTGCATTGCATATTTTATTCCAAAAAGGACATGATTATTTTTGCCTAATGTGGAAGGTACTGAATGTCAAATATCTCTTCCTCTTTCCTGGTGAATATCAAATTGAGCATGGAAGAACTATTTCCCCTCCCTCATCCTCGTAGCTTGTTTAACGTGTTGTTCGTCTCCAGGATGAGGTTTACGAATCTACAGGTCCAAAAGTCCTCCGTTCAATATGTAACAACTTAATGCATCTATTGTATGAAAAATGCCTTTATATGTGTACAGAAAAAGGATGGCAAAATTATTTCTACCATTTGTAATTACAGTAATGTATCAAGTAGTTTAGGCTAGAATATGTTGTACTACTGTGTTGCTTAGACATGGGTTTGAGCTCTGCACTTTTTCTAGTTTATTTAACTTACTGTCATTTGGCTGGTGTAGCAGAATGAAAGCATATTCAGTATGTCTGGCATGCAGATGTTGCAATACAAATAGTCATTCATGTTTTTTTTATGAGTTTCTGTTTCTTTTAGATGGAATATATTTCGTCTTAAAATATTGCATGTTCTGTAGTTAAACTGATTTAAATGCATAATCATAAGTTTTAACATACTTGTATTTTTTTTCAGATCTGACAGCTAGAACCTAAAGGAGAATATGATGGTGGTAAGATGATGGGGTGGGCATGATCCAAGAGTGAGAGTCGGGATGGTTGTGTGGTGATTGTCACTCTCCCCAGGTTGGGGCTGCCTGACACCCAGTCTATATACCCAGCTTCCCCACACCAAGTATAGCCTCTCTTATAAATATCACACATGGCATAACAATTGTTAGAGAAATTAAGAGCTCAACTTGGGTTGTGGTGGTGGAGGCTGTGGGACATCATGAGTGAAGGAGGCAATAAATGGCCATGTGGAAGATGTACTTACCTCAACTTTGCCAGTGCTGTGCGTTGCACCATGTGTACAGTTCCTCGCTCACCTCATCTCATTGTGGAAGCTGGTGCAGATATCTACCAGCTTGCACCTCCATCGCCAAGACAACCGGATGGCCCACCACCACAAGAGGGAGACAAATGGCTTTGTCACTTATGTACCTACCACAATTATCCAAAAGCAGTGAGATGTACACAGTGCCGCACACCACGCCTTTCGTTAGCTGACCAAATGACCGGCCTTTCGTTGGCTAAACCTGCATCTCCTTCACCAGTAAATTCAGCTCCCACCACAACTCCTACCTCCATTCCTGTTCTTATTACATTTGCCACTACAGCTACCACAACTACTGCTGCCTTAGTTACATCTGCAGCTAAAACTGTAACCGCAGCCCCTACCACAGCCTCAATCTCAACTGCTAACCATAATGGTGTGCAAAGTCCTAATCAAGTTGTGACAGCACAGATTAGTAGTGGTGTGCAGGGAGCAGGGGCAGGACATCAAAGCCCTGGAGGAGGAACTCCACCGGGTGGAGCTGGTCGATGTAGCCCTCAGGGGGCAGGTGTGACTCAGCCACAAACCCGCCACGAAACAGAACCAGCTGTTCCCAGTTACAAGTGGAAGTGTCGTGCATGTACATATGAAAATTGGCCCCGATCAACTAGATGTGTTATGTGTACTACCCCTAAAGGTCTCAGTTCCCCTGCAGCCCAATCTCAACCAGCCCGACTTGCTACTCCCCCTCCACCAGGTGACAGTAAATATAACAACATTAGTGCAAATAAGCTTAAAAATCCAAATGAAACGAGTGAAATTCCAAACAATGTTGAAATTATTCGTGAACCTAGTAATTCCCATCAATCTGAAAATAACGCAAAAAACATGGAAAATATTAACGAGATTAATAAATCGCGTAATAGTGAGCCCCCTCAAGAACCGCAGCTGATATCCCAGAGAAATTTAAACGAATCTAAGGAGAATCTCTCGAGTATCTCCTCCAGTGTGGGTGGCAATAATGCTTCAGGTGCTGTTAGCCACCGTGTAGGGGAAGGAGCAATGGCACTCAACAATTACGAAACTGAACGACTGTTACGACAGCTAAGACGACGTCTACGGGAAGCAGATTGGGCTTGGTTAAATGCATGTAATGGAGTCGTGGAAGGCAACTATGAACCAGTAGAAGCTTACTTGTCAGCCGGTTTGTCTTGTGTGTTTTTACTTCCTTATTCAGTATACAGTATATATATATACACTATTGCAAAATTTTGTACTTGTGTCCATCTTTTACATATGGCATCATATTAGTACTGTACAATACTGTATTTCTCTAATTATTAACCCTTAAACCTCGCAATACATACATATATGATTTGACATGAAATAATTTAACATAAGTTTTTAAAACATGCACAAACACTTATCATTTTTTTTTTTTTTTTTGCATAATCAACTAGGCAAATGCTCCAACTTTGTCTAAATGATCAAAGCATAACTTCAAAAACAGGAGAATAAAAATAAATTTTAAAATTGAATATTGAAAACTTCAGATTTTCAATTCAGAATAAAAAAAAAATGAACTATCACCACTTGTTCATTTAATGTTATTATTCTCTCAGAGTAGCATATGATCTTCATTTTCATCAAATTAGAATATAGGTTTTCAGTACAGTTTACTGTAAAAAAAAAGTCAATAGGGCATTTGAAATATGCAGAAAATTTAGATAAAAAAAATTATAACTCCAAATGTATAAAGTTAATGAAAAATCCATTCTGAAGGGATTGCAGAACAGACAGCTGAGTACACAATATGTCAAAATAGTGTGAATCGGTCAAAAACTGGAATTTTAGAAGCCACTCGAAGTTGAAACTCTTAGTTTCTGAGATAATTGAAGTTGAAGTTATCAACAATGAATAAAGGTAGTTTTAATTCGTTAATTTAATTGAATGTTTAATAAACATTGTTTGGCATTTGTACTCTAATATGTGAAAGTCGTAGGTCAATATGTGTTGAAGTCAAGAAAAAATAACCCCCCAAAAAACACAAAATACAGTATAGGGATAATTATAATAATTATAATGATTTTGGGGATATATTTAGGGTATACTTTATATAAGTGAAAAAACCCTATTATGGTCCCTAATCATCAAAACAACCTAAAGAGACAAAAAATAGTTTGAAATCAGAGAAAAAATCGTCCAAAAAAAATTAAGTTTCAAGTTTTGCGAGTTGTGACTGATTGATTTGTTGACCAATTTCATTCTATCCTCACATAGTTAGGGAAACATATCCATTCTCCAGGATGTAAAGGTTACAACAAAATCAGTTAATAAACAAAAGAGAAAAAAACTAAATTCTTAAAAAAAAAAGACCCTAAAAAAATATCTTGGGACATTGATGAAAGTAACATATATTATCATTGGACTATGTAGTTATATGATACATAACAAAATAGAGCATATTAACATAGGCAGACGATGAGTCACAATAATGTGGCTGAAGTATGTTGACCGAAACGTCGTTTCGGTCCGAGGATGGACCGAAACGTCGTCGTCCCTTCACCTTCTAGTGTGTGGTCTGGTCAACATATTAACATAGTTATTCACTATTATTTGTGTTATTATGTATTACTCAGCAATGCTATAAAGGTACCAGCTGCATATCCACTTTGTGGACACTTCTAACTACTATTCTCTAAGCGTTGGACAGGTGCTTGCATCTCTTTATTACTGCATAATCCTTCAGTTCCAGTTATTAGGAGCTGTTCTCCTTATCAACAAAACGTTCTTATTTAAAAAAAAAATCATCTAAAATCAATTTCTGAAAATATTTTAATGAAAGCTTCACAACACTGAAGCCAATAATTTGGAGATTTATTTAACATTTATAAGTTATTTTTACATAATTCAAATATTTTTCGCTTCCAGGGTCCCCCAATATGCGCGGTAATATGCGCAGTCTAAGGGTTAAGCATATGTATGTATGTTCTGAGCTATGCCACTTGGTTGCTTCTTTAGGCAAGATCCTGTTGTTCCCACATATACAGGATCATGCAGGGTTAGGACATGGTTAACATTCACCCTTGATGTTATTCTTATCACATGTCCCTGTTGGGTCATAATGGGGGTAAGGGAGACACTGAAGAATACTTAATCTAGCCTAGAATGATCTCTAGAAGGTTCATTAATGTAAACTCAAAATCCTTTTCAAGCACTAGGCTACTTGGCATCCCACAGAGCCAACAAAAATACCACCTTAAGGAAGACATCAGAAGCCGAAGTAGGAACTGGAAACTGAGGTGAGGAGGAAAATCGCAACACCCTGTCAAGAGTCAAGGACAGTTAAGTAGAAACATGAGCAGGCCGGAGGTAAACAAAAAATGTAAGAGAAAACTTGTTAAATGGAGTCGACAGTGCATCGATGCCAAAGCTGATTAATTGATGTGGTTTATTAGGCATGAAATGCTAATAGAGAAAGAAATATAGTGACACCGTGGCTTACGAATGCCCCTCTTTATGAACTTTTTGGGTTACGAGCCCAATTTCTTCGTAAAATTCGAGTTGGGTTACGAACTTTGCCTCGGGTAACGTAGTTTGTTGATACATGTATGGCCGACTTAGCGCGGGGTGGCACAGTGACCGCACTTCAGTTTACCAGTGCCTCCCTCCTAGTGATAATCACACCTGAATTGTTTGTGAAGAATTTCAGTGTTTTTCGGATTTTTGTGTATTTGAACATAAAAGTAATTATTATATATCTCACCATGGGTCCCAAGAAAGTCAGTGGTAAGGTTCAACCTATGAAAATAGTTTTGAGTAGAGGCAGTAGAGGATGTCCCTTCCTCATTAAGAAAATGTGTGAAGTATGGGAAGAACTGCAAATTTTTATTGAAAAAACTCGCCCAGATAAAGCTGTAGCAAACTATTGTATTGACATTTTAAATGACAATGTGATGTCTCACTACAGACAAGTGTTAAAATGTAGGGAAAAAGAAGTGTCTTTAGACAGATTCTTAGTAAGACAAGCAAGCAGTGAGCCACAACCAGGTCCTAGTGGTATGCCTGCAAAATGTAGGAGAGAGAGAGTACCTCAGAGAAGTCATCACTGCCTGATGTTATAATGGAAGGGGACTCCCCTTCCAAACACTGACACCTCCTCCTCGACGTCTTCCATATGCCAACAAGAGTCATCAATAAAGGTAAGCAATAACTTGTACATATTTTAGTACTAAAGATTTGGGGAAATTAGGTTTAAAATTTACTTTGAAGTTAATATTTTTGGGATTGTGGAATGGATTAATTCAATTTACGTTATTTCTTATTGGGAAAATTTACTTTTGTGTGAATTTTCGAGTTACGAACCGTCTCTGGGAACGGATTAAATTTGTAAGCTGAGGTACCACTGTATGACAAAAAGGACAGGACCTGACCAAGCCCAAGAAGAACAACAACATAGAAACAGAAAGAGGTGAAACAAGCACCAGGCAACTTCATACTGCATCTTGCAAGACAGACACAGGTGGGACACCAATAACTCAGTCACCTGCTCGCTATACAAATGATAATAAGTCCGTGTCAAAAACTCCAGATATGAAAAGAAGAGGAGGTTGAATTAGCAAGGTATACCGTCAGACTGATTTGCTGAAAGAGGCGGAGCTGCAGAAAAACGTCCGGGTTCGGACACGGGAGAGAAGCGTTGGGTGGTTGGTACCCTCGGCGCAGGGCTTGTTGTTACAGGGGGAGGGGTTTTCCTATCCCCCCCTCCCTGTACGAGTTTTATATGGGTGCGACTCCTCCCCGGGTTCGGTTCCGAGTTCCCTTGGGTTCCTCGGTTCTCTCCTTCCAGAGGTTTTCGGCTTTCTGCATCACATCAAAGGTGGCATGGGAAGCCCTTGCGGCTTACCTCTTGCGAGATCCGGACTGTGCCTCGGTAATGGATCCTCCTTCTTTTGAGTTTGGCTCCTCGTTTTCTTTCAGGATCCGTTACGAGGTGCCGGAGTCTTCCTGGTTGGCAGACTGCCTGTTTTTTTCGTTGGGGGCATGGCACTTGTTCTGTTGGACCCGTGCGCTTGAATGGCGGGAAGTGACTATAGTAGTTTAGGTTTACCTAGGGGCGAATTTGAGCACCTAGTTTAATTTGCTGGTTCGCCCCCGTACTTCCTCGTGGTGTCGGTCACATTCAACTTCATGTGCAGGTTCCCTCCCTTTCGGCGTCCCTGGTGGCCGAGGAATTGCGTGCCCATGGGCATTTGGCTTCAGTCTTGCATTTCTTTTCTCTGCTGGAGCTGTCTTCGGACTGGCTCGGTGAGGATGTGCAGGAATGGAGATCTGGGCCGATGTCCGGTGTGTTTGCTTCGGCAGCTCGGGCGTCGGCTGCCTTGTTGAAGTTGTTTGCGCCAATTCTGAGGGAGATGGTGTCCCTGTTCTTTGCTTCTCGTCTTGCGTGCCGACAGGCGGTGCTCGTCTACTCTTTGGATTCGGCTTGGGCTCTGGCTCTTAGATTTTCATCCCCTTTTCGTCCGTTGCTGTTTGCAGAGTGTGGTGGTGCATTTTCTGCAAGCGGCTTCGTCTAGTTGCTGGCCTAGGTTGGACTTGTTGGTTCTTGGGGGGGGGGGGGGTGACCACCATGCCCTCTTCCGGGCATGGTGGTCCTGCCCAGAAGAGTCATGCCAGGTGTCAGGTTCCTTTGGTCGTCGTAAACCAGTAGTGCCAGATTCGGGGCCGGCACCTCTGGAGCTGTTGACGTCTGGGCGGTGCAATGATCGCTCAGAGCGTTGGTTGGGCTCTCGTAGGGGCCGTTGGCCCTTTCGCAGGTCGCCCCAAGATAGTGGGGAGGCTTGTGCTGTTTGCTCTCACCAGGTCCCACGATTCGTGGGTATTTCGGGTAGTTTCATTCGGCCTGTGGTGGCGTTGGGTTGCTCCTCCTCCTTTGGGGGGATTAGGGCTGGCAGGGCAGGCCTCTTCTCCTGTGCTCTTGTCAGGTCATCCAGGAGTGGGTTCGCTTGGGTGTGGTCGAACGACAATGTCCCGCAGGTGGGTTTCCTGCCTGTTTTCAGTTCCGAAACAGGACTGTGCGGATCTGCGATTCATACTGGACTTGTCTCGTCTGAATCCCTGGGTCTTTTGCCCCTCCTTTCGGATGACCATTCTGTCTCAGGTCTGGCTGCTTTTGGTGCCGGGTGCCTGGATGGTGTCTCTGGA